CTCTGGCTCCTCAGGCTCCTCCGGATCGCCGACGCCATTAGCCGAGTCGCCCACAATTCCGAGCGCGGCCCGGACACGTCAGCCACACTTCCGGGCACCGTGGCCACCGCCCCCGCCGCGGCCAACCCGAGCGGAGAGGCGCTGTGGAGTGGGGAGGGGTGCTACGTGGTGGGGCGGGGCGAGGTGGGCGGAGCTCTCGACGGGCGGGCTACGGGTGACAGTAGTGCCCAGCCCCAACCCCGGCCTTCCAGTAGGCAAAGGGCAGAGGGCGCGACGTCGGAATTTGCTTCCTTTCTGGTGACAAGTGTATAAACAGAGCCCCGGGATACTCTTGGCGTACGTTTATGTTACATTCTATTTTGGTGTGTTGAATTAATTTTAACTTTACCCCCCCTCCCCGCCCCCAGTGCTGGGAATCGAACCTAGGGCCTGGCTCATGCTGGGCAAGCACTCTAACATTGATCCACTCCAGCTCTGCATTTCAGTTTGTCTTGTTTCTCTTTGTTTCTGCCTCTGCCAACCTCCATAGTAATGACTCCAAATTAATTCCTACTTCCTGTTAATTCCTCCCACGCACACACTCCAGGACCTAAATTCAAACTCTGCAAGGGTTTGTACCAAGCGCCGTTTGTGCAACACACCGAGGAGTAAGCTCTTATTTTCCATACTTGAAAAATGGCAAGCAAGACTACCCTCGGCTCTGAAACTTCTGCCAGCGTTTTCTGTCACTGATAGTAAAAGACAAAATTCCTGCAATTGCCCCTGCCCTTTTTGTTGGCCATCTCTTCACATTAAAAGGAAACGTTCAGGCCAGTTCGGCTTTAATTATTTTTTTTATTTTCAGTTTGTTTCGCGGCGTACCTCCAGTGCCTGTAATCAATAAACATTTGTTGAAAATACTGTAATACAATCAGTTTTAAGACTCCAGTAAACAGCCAGTGTAAAAATACCTTCAGTAGAGCTGAAGTGGCAAATAACTGTGTCAAAAGCTAAAATTTTCATCTGTGCCTCTCCAAAGATCCACGTTAGTCTATTTTCCTCCAAGATACTTCGCAGCTGCTGAGCAGGAAGCAAAATAACCTCTGTTTTTTTCCTTCAGATCAGTAAAGGAGAGATGTGGTGTTCATAGGTAGCTCCTAGAACAGTAGTTTGGGCCCTTTGTGCGTGTCACTCAATTTGTGAGAAACAAAAGCTGGACAGTTCCTATAGTATGAGCTTTATGTATTAAAGCCTGTAAATGTAGTGGAAAAACAAACTCGGAATCTGACAAACAGTCGCGGAGAGTTTTTTAAAATGATCTTTAAATGAAAAGGTCTAAAGGTGTAGGGGAAGTGAGAATGGTAGGGGAAAGGAAAGAAGGAAAAAATATGAGAAAAGGAAAAAATGGAAACAAAGTCTTTGTAAATAGGGAAGGGTGGAGGGGCTGAAGAGAGGGCAGGGGTATGGGGAAGAAATAAGAACCAAGATACATTATGTCAAGGTACAAGATCCCAATGATGACTGCAACAATAATGTATACCTAAAAAGTACCAAGAAACTTGGCTTAAAAACTGATCTTCAAATAATAGGTCTAGTAATCTAGGCTTAAACTCTTGCTCAATGTCTTTCCCCATGTAGCCAACTTTTCTTTTAATTTAAAAAGTTTTATTATTAATAGTTTGACTCAAAATTCTCTTTAGAGTCTTTTACATCTGTATTATATAGAGTTGAGGAAATGTAGTTAAAAACCACTAATTAAACAATGCTCAATGATGATTTGAAAATCCAAAGTTTTCTTACTAAAGTGTAACAAGTACCTATTTATAGAATTCTGAAATTTTCTTTAAAAAAGAAAAAAGGTGGTAGCTGGGCTGGTGATAACAATTTTGTAATCCTTGATACCCAGGGGCTGAGGCAAGAGTATCACAAATTCAAATTCAGAGCCAACCTGGGCAACTTACCAAGATTTTGTCTTTAAAAAAACAATAAAATAAAATAAATGGGGATGTAATTCAGTGGTAGAGCACTTGCCTAGCCTGTGTGAGGTAGTGGGTTTGATTCCCACTGCAAAAGATTAAAATTTAAAAATAAGTAAAACATCCATCTATATATGGGTGCCCAGAAAGACTGTACTCTCCCAGAAACAATACATGGTTTTATGCCAACATTAAGCAAGTTACCAGAGGTTAAACAAATTTTTTTACAAGTTGAGAAATGAGCTAAATTTAGGAGTTAGCATACCAGAATTTTAAAAAATCGGTACTAGCAAAAAAAATTCAAATGCATATTTTTGTTTTCAAGTGTGTCAGAGAATATGCTGTATATTTTCAAAATTGTAGCATGCCCCCTATAAATGTTGGTATATAAAAAGCTGACAGCAAAATTTGTCTTCAATAAAAATTATATTATGGGCCGGGGATTTAGCTCAGTGGTGCTGCTGTCTGCCTCACAGGTGCAAAGCCCCAAGTTTGATTCCCGGTACCAAAATAATAATAATGAATAATAATCATATTTACCTAATAAATTTTAACTTTTATTACCATAAATAATGTTTTCATAGCATTTGCGCACAGTAATTATGTTCCAGTCTCTGAAATCAAAAATCCCTAAATGTGATTCTCATCTCTGTTGGTTACTACCTAGGTTACACTATTAAACTCCTTAATCCCTCTGATCTTTGCTAATCCTTATTGTATACCTCCCCGCTTCTTTAAGAGAAGAAAATAAAAGTGCCCTCCTCATGAGGCAGTTATGAAGTTACATGAGACAGTGCATGTGAAGTACAATGCTTGGCACACAGTAAGTTTTGAGTGTTTAAATTTTATTATTATTGTTATTATAAGTGCTGGGGAGTGAATCTAGAGACAAGTGTTTTAAATAGGTGTTAGTAAAAGAGAACTATTTGATGGTCATCACTTATACTCTTTAATTAATTTCTAAACAGATGTAATTACCGCTGAGTTTTGTTCCTGATGTTCAGACTTCTAGCTGAAAATTTTTAAAAGCTGTCTGTTTAGCCCTTGTTATGAATCTTTTAGAAAAGTATTCATTTAATAATGAGCCATGTATTCATATAAGAAAATGTGTCTAATGTCACTGTGAAGTATCTACCTTTGTGTAATGATGAAATACAAATTGTCTTAGTTACTTTTTTCATTGCTGAGACAAAATACTTGACACCCACAAGTAAGGTAGGCCAGGTTTATTTAGCTCACAGTTTGTAAAGGTTTCAGTCCACAGTTGGCTGTCTCCAAGGTAGAGTAGCACATGGCAGAAGGGCAACAGTTCACGGAGACCCTAAGGTAGCAAAGCAAAAGGGAAACAGCATCTTTCTGCCCATTTTATCTTAGCCAGACTACCGATATTAGGGCGGTGCCAAACCAATCAGTGTACTGGTTTAGTAATCACATGTCCTTAATCCCAACATTACACACTCTAGATTCAGCTACCTCTGAAAAAGCTACTTATGACCACATGAGGCTTTGGGAGATATCTAGACGCAAACCATAACACAAATATTACTCTATTTTTCTAATTTTAAGTCCCTCGGATATTAGCAAAATTCATTCAGTCTCCTTTAAAATTTTTCTTTTTCCTACTCCTTAGTTATTAGTGTTTCCCACACTTTTATTTTCTGCTCTTTTCAATTTATTTTGAATGATCTTTGGCAGATCAATGTCAATTACTACCCATCTAGTATATA